ACCCGCCCTAATACATACATATAGCAGCAGTTTATTTCATTTAAAGAAATAGCGTGTCGTCCATTTCCGCTGTGACGGATATAAATAGTGCATATATTTAGGCGCAATATTTAACTTCTTCTGGCGGGGCGACATCTAGAGTCTTCTAATTGTGTCTCCTTGATATGATACCTACAACGAGGTTGATATCTAGACTAGGTTGATATCTAGAATTTTCCATAAATAGCTTTGCTACATTTATAGTAGGTGCATTCTTTTGCAACCTAGCTACAAAAGAACATTCGCTTAAATTACGAAATACACGCAAAGCGACAACACATACTCGGCTATTTACCCGAGCTCAGCTAGGTCGGTTAAAAAATACGCGACCTGAAGGCTAGTGTTGGTAAGTGAAAAAACTGCTCTATTGTGAATTGTTAATGGGAAAGTGGAGAGGGGAATTTTTGCTTCCTTTTATACGTGACTTATATTTTAAAAGAGGATATATATTACCCAAAAACCTCGCATAATTACTCATTTAAATTGGTTTTTGTATCTAAATCCCGTTTAACTAATCACATTTTCTTGCCAGCTACCAACAGGGTCGCTTAAGTAGCTAAAAGGAAATTTTACCCGAGTTGAGCGTTCTTTTGGCGCTCGCTTACAAAAAAATGCAGCTAATATAAATGGTGGTCTGGACATACAACATTCAAAGCGGTCTGGACATACAACATTGCAAGTTGATAAAAGCGTTGTAAAATAATATATCTCAGTCCCATAAAATTTGTTTTGATAACTTTTGTTTTTGAAATTTTAGCAAAAGTCATTATAAACAATTTATGAGAGTGAAAACGAAAAACGAGGAGCGCATGCAATGCAAAGCATTAGATTTAATTGACAATATTAAAACTACATACATAACATGGAGCTAAAATTTCTACTCGCTGTACAAATTTGGGATCGATTTTAAGCGGTCGTTATTAATATACCCACATAGATACATATATTACTCGTCAATTTCAAAACAGGCCCCATTACATTACATGCGCCCCACGCCAGAGAACTTAGATAGGTAGAGAAGGTGCAAATTTTTGGAACGTAAAATTGTTTGGCTTAAAACTAAATCCATGGAATATCACCACATTGCGATTAACATTTGAACACGAGTTAACAGCAAAAAACGTTAATATTCTGTTATGATAATGTTATGTTATGTTGCAAGTGCCTGGCTGTGTTGCCAGGTTCCTGGTGAATGCAGAAACATATTCATGTATATTTTTTTATAATATTAAATAAATTAAAAGTTAAATTATATGAATTGTACTTTTATATCAGTTAGCATTTCGGATCTTCATATATGCATGCCCATTTGTTAAATATAATTTATTGAGTAGTTAATATTGCTTTAACGGCATAAAAAATCCAAAAACTCAAAAAGCATGTGTTCAAGTTCGCTTCTTGTACGAGTATATAATATATGTATATATAAATGTATATAATATATGTATATAGTAGGTAGTAAAAATGCATGTTAGTGGAAAAGATTTCTAAAATTGGTAAAAAATTCATATGTTCAAAATACATATGTTTGTGCCAGTGTATGCTCTCACTGCAAACCTTATGAAAATTATGTACACATGCAATTGGCAAACTCTTTGGTGATTTGTCGTCGGCATTTCAAAGGGGCTTTTGGTCGGAAAAATCTATTTTTTTTTTCTTATGGTAGCTGTTATGCTATTTACATATAATGCAATAAACCACAATTTTCTAGCTGCTTTAGTTTTTTAACAATTTCACTTTAAACATGGACACATTGACAAAAAAAAACGTACAAATGCAATGCACTTGTTAACTTCAAGGTGTTTTCTTGAAAAGTTATTTTTGAGTTTTATGAACATTTATTTTGAGCAAATGTGTTGCATGATCATTTTCCACTGCAATACTCGTATTATATGTAATTAATGGGGCATATTCATAGTCAAAATAAAGTCGACACTAAAGTTAGTTACAGATTTTTGACTTAATTTTCAATAGAATATCTGTAAAAAGTTGCAATTATGTAAGTTTAGAGTCGACTTTATTTCTCACGCATGCGCATACGGATGTATGTATGTACTTACAAATGCGGTACATATTTATGTAAAAATGCACATACTGAAAAATCATATATGCATTGATAACGTTCCCCTCTATGTACTTATTTGTACATATGTACATACCTAAACAACCTCGAAAATCATTTATTGATAACGTTCTTAAACATGCACATACTATATATACATATAATAACTTCCTTCTTATTTGAGGTTCACAAACTTTAACTTCAGAGTCGTCTTTATTTCGTCGACGAATATGCCCCAATAGTTTTGCAGTGAAATGAAAATGCATTTCCCACGCATATGTATGTAAATACATACTCCATTAATTGATAACATAAATACATACATACATGCATATATAGATAAGAACAAGGAATGAAACCGAAACCCAAACCGAAACCGTAACCGTTTAAAACCGTTTCGTTTTTCAAAACCGAAACCGAAACCGTAACCGTTATCTTGACCTGAAAAGGAACGATACCGAAACCATTTCAATCACAGGTTTCAATCGGTTTCCAAAAATTTACAAAAATAATAAATAAAAATTTCTTTGAAATAAATGATTTATTTAACCAAAATCAGCAACATTTTGCTAAAATTCTTATTAAGTAGTAAATAAGTATGGCAAGGTAACTTTTCGCAAAAATCTGCTGATGACTTTGTTGTTGTGAATCGATAATCGATTAATTATTAGTCTGTTCCAATAGCAGTCCGGTTTACAGGATTTAGTCAGAACTTACAGGAAGTCGTTCCTATTGACATAAAACCTGTAAGTGGGAACACATTTGAGAGAGTAACTGAGCAACTGTTCCTAGTCAGAAGTTACAGGATTTAGTCCGGAGTTTCTTTTCCTGTAAGTTCATGAAAAGTGTCAAACGATCAGCTGATTTGCATGTGCAAGCAAAAACTAACAGCGGTGAAAGCAAAGTACCTTATATTTGTACAAAAATGGAAGTAAACAACGAAATGTTTGAATATGTATAGATTTTAATAATTATTTAGTGATATTTCAGCTAAATCAGTGTTGTACAAATGACATGTAAACAAACCGGATGACGTTTTTACAGGAAATAGTGCTTTTTGCGTTCCTATGCACTTCTGCATCTGTTCTCCTTTTACTCTCATTTGAGAGCGTAAAATTGTAGTTTGACAGTTCCACAGATTTTAGTCCGAAGTTCAAAGGAACAGACTATATATTTAAGTAGTTTCCTTCCCGTACGCAATGCGAGATCCCGCGTGTGCCCAAAATAGCCCAGAAATCATGCCTGTACTCAACAAAATGGGTAATAGAGAGCGAAAATTCGAGCGTATTCGATCGTAAGTGTATTCTTTTTCCTGCCCGAAATAGCCCGAAATTTTCTCCGAGTAAAAATGGATAAAGTGTCAAAGTGCATATCAGCTGTATTGTGTTTACATGTTGCCTGCATTTACTTGGTGCTTTTAAGGAAAAGTGAATGGCCTGTTGATGTATTTTCAATCTATGTACTTAAAATCAAATTTGTGAAACCAAAATTCAATTTCCAAGTGTTTGCATTTAATACCATGTTCTGACCGACAACCAAATCATTTTTCCTTCATTTTCTTTTCATTTACAACCTTTAACTTTCGTTCTTATTTTGCTTTGGCCAGGCAATTAACAATAAATCCGATATGGCGTATTAAAGATGATAAAATATGACTTCCACTTCGATAAATAATCGAAAAAAAAACTAGTGAAGACACCGATTGGAATGAGTGGAAAGTGAGTTTTCAAGTAGTTTTCAGCGAAAACTGGTTTTCGTTTAATAGATTTTATATGGACGAAAACACAAGTTTTAGGTCGAAAACCAGTTTTAGCAACGAAAACATGTTTCCGATGTCGGTCAGAACATGGTATAAGTGACAAAAACAAGAACAACGTGAATCAGCTGTTTCTCGACTTGTGGGCACGAAATGTGGGTTTTTGCGTTTCCGTGCTTCTGAACTTTGTTCCATTTTTGAAAGAAAATGTTTCTCTTATTCTCTAATTACCAAATCCGGTCCGGATTGTTAGGGAAAGAACCTAGTGTTGATATTATCAGTGAACTGTAATTTTCGACTTTCTTTCCTCAACGTTTAAGACATTGTGATTTAAATAATATCAACAAAATTTCTGTGAAAAACCGAAACCGGAACGAAACCGAAACCAAAACCGAAACACTTGGCAAAACCGAAACCCAAACCGGAACGTTATTTTGAATCGGTTTCATTCCTTGGATAAGAATGTACATACATACATACGTATGTGCATATTTCTGCCAAATACTACGCACATGCATACGTATGTACAACTCAGCATACATACATAATCACGCACATATTCAAGTACAACAAAAACTATTTCATTCATAAACGCATGCGCGTATTTCTCAATGCCAAATAAATTCATTCATAACAACCGCAGCACATCTCGCCGCAAATTCATCACCCACAAGCGCAACTTTTTCAGTCCGACTCAAAAATTCTAAAATCTAAAAGTTAAGAAATCTCGGCCAGCCAAGTGAAAAGTGGCAACCATTTCTCTACATATATCCAGTAAAATTAGTTATCTCGAATTTTGGTAATTTTTGGCAAAACAATCTATTTCTCTGTTCCACAACAATATTTCAGTCATTAACTAGTATTTTAAGGTGTAATTTTAATTAACATTAAATAAATAAAATAATAAAATCAAAACTCCTAAATTCACAAACATATGCGGTTTTATCGGAAGTTCACAAATGTAACGTGGCAACTTTGCTCGTTTGCGCAGCGAGGCCGCCAAAGAGCACCTCACGCTGGCGGTGTTGGACAAGGGCCATCCGGACGGCCACATCAGCACGGACAATTGGAAGTCCGTACTGATGGGTCTATGCAGGGTGTATAAGGGGATACTCCAGAAGTATCCCGGCCCTGCACCAGTCGTTCGTGATGCTGGGTGGCATCAGGGGCGGGTAAAGCTGGTGGCGTGTGCAGATGAACGCGCGGTCCGGCTTTACAAGGAAGCGATCTCCACGGTTGGACAGCTGTGGCCCGGGGCAGACTTAGTTGCTGTTCACAGGGATGAAATCCCTAACAGGCCGCGAGCCTGGGCCTGGGTCCCAGCTGAACCATCAAAGCCAGAGGAGATTCTTGAGTTTATCCGACTGGGCAACGAAGGACTGCCCACAAGTGATTGGAGGATAGTCCGAGTTGGCGAGACCAAGGGGAAGCAGCGTTTTGTTGGCTTTGTCATCAACGATGCTTCCGTCCCAGTTCTCGAGGGTTGTGGTGGGGTAATAAGCTACGGCTTTTACTCCATCACGATGAAAATTTACCGGAAAACGGACCAACAATGGGAGGAGGCGGGCAACGCCTCGAGCGGACCCACTCCTCCCGATAACTCTACCGACGAAGGGGCCAACAACACAGGCAACGCCTCGAGCGGACCTGGCGCCTCCGAGTCGGCATCGGTGGCAGACAGCGCGGGGTCCACAGGAAACACCACGAGTGGACCTGGGGACCTACCAACGGGTGTACCCGAAACCGCGTCAGATACTAAGAGCGACACGAGCTCAGTATCTGCCTACGTAGGATCGGTATACAGCCGGTGGGCAATGCTGAACGAGGACCAGCTTCTGGACTCCGAACCGGAGGAGGAGGTTAATGACATCACAGTCATTGCCGCCGCCGAACGGGAGGAGCTAGAAGCGATGGACATCACCGACTCTGAGGATGGTGCAGATCCTACAAATTAATCTGCACCATTCCAAGGCAGCCTCGGCGGCCCTTCTTCTTCGCCTCAGCAATAAAGCTGAGGACTTGATTCTAGTCCAAGAGCCTTGGATCGTTAGAAACAAGGTTTGCGGACTGAACTCTGATGCCTACCAGGTTGTAACAGCTCCAGTAGCAGGTAGAATCAGAGCTTGTATTCTGATTAAAAAAGTATATTCTTATTTTTTACTCTCCCAATACAGCGACGAGGACACTGTCTGCATTAGCGTCCAGCTGAAGGAGAGCGTGATCTGCTGGCAACATCCTACATGGCCCACGACAGCCATGTTTTTCCACCCTACAGACTGGAAGAAGCTGTGAAGGAAGCAAATCGCAGGAAACTCCCGGTCATAATAGGGGCAGACTCTAACTCGCATAACACGATCTGGGGCTCAAGCGACACCAACTCTCGAGGTGAGTGTTTACTTGACTTTGTTCTTTTATATAATCTTACTGTATGTAACCGCGGGCGCGACCCCACTTTTGTGACCTCTGTTAGAAGCGAAGTGCTGGACATCACCCTTGTTTCGAGCGGTTTATCTGATCAGATAAGGGACTGGCAGGTGTCCAAAGAACACTCTTTCTCTGACCATCTCTACATTAGCTTTAAGCTCAATTTTGATCCTGCTCCTTTAACAGCATACAGGAACAAGAAGCGAACCGACTGGGCAAAGTATAAAAATACGCTGTCGGTCTCTCTACATAGATACGCTTCTCACGATAAGTCCTGCTTATCGTTAAGATCTGATGAAGCGAGTCTCTCGAATACGAAGGTTGTTTCTCTCGGTGAGCTGGACTCATCGTCAAAAATTGATGAAGCAGTGAACTTTGTGACAAATTCCTGTAATGCTGCTTTCAAAGCCTCCTGCCCAATCACCCTCCCGAAGGGCAAAAAGAAACCCCAGTGGTGGAATCCTGAGATTTCAGCACT